GGGGGCCGCGGGACCCCGCCACACGAGAGCGCCACGTCCTGCGGCAGCTCCAGCCTGCGTCTCCGCAGGGGACGAGGTGGCGGCGTTGCAGAGCTGTTCCGCGGTCTCTTGCTGGCACTCTCTGTTGATGCTTTTAGATGCCTCCAGTTCAGTCCATGCTGTGGTGATATAAGGCGGGTGCGCTCCTCGACGCACCATGGCATGAAATGGAGGTTCCTAGAAGCAAGATGGCAGGTACGGTACTGAGAGTCGGCCGCCGCGGGGGTTTGCTGTCTCCCTCTCGCGCTGCTGGTCAGGGCGGGGGGCAGAGCGGAGGGGAGAGGTTCAAATCCAAAACACCAGGCAGGCTGTGAACAAACTGGCCAGGCCAGGAAGCTCCGAGGGACAGTGCTCCTCCCATGCCCGTAGCGTGGTGTTTCCCGTGCCAAGGCTTTTCATGGCTCTGAAGGAGGGCATCTCTCCCAAGAACATCGGAGCTGGGAAATGCCAGTCCTGCTCATATCTTTTGGCTTTTGTTGTCTTTTTTTTCCACCCCCCACCACTCACCAGCGGTTTTTCTGTCAGGTGCTGACATGCCCAGGGGAGGCTGCTGTTAGCCCCTCGCTTAGGAATGGATTTGCTTTTTGGTTGCAGCAGTGTCCATGGTATGAAACCGCCCCCTTCCCTTTCTGTCTCCCATCACTTCGCAGAAAAGCAGGGTCCGGAGCGGAAGAGGATTAAAAAGGAGCCTGCCACGAGGAAGCCCGGCTTGCTGTTCGGCATGGGCCTTTCAGGGATCCGGGCCGGGTACCCGCTCTCCGAGCGCCAGCAAGTCGCTCTTCTCATGCAGATGACAGCGGAGGAATCTGCAAACAGCCCAGGTGAGAGCCGCCAGCGTGTTCCCGCTCGGGCAGACGTGTGGGAGCTTGTAGGTCAAGGGGCTCGTGCACGCTGGTGCTTTTCGACACGCACCCCGGTTACCGAACAGCCGGGGTGAAAACGTGCCTCAGTGCCTCACCCCGACACCCAGGGAGAGCTGTTCAGTGGTTTTGGTGCCCCAGAAAGCTCTCTGGAGTATGAATGCCTGGAAGTGAAGTGAAGCGACAGGGTTCAGGTGCTTCCCTCCTGCCGCGGACCCCATCTTCCCTTGCCTTCTGGCTCTGTGCAGGCTACGTCTCCCCCAGCTTCCACAAAGGTCCCTCTGTTGTGTCCCCTCGGAGAGGTGGGGTCGGGTGGAGCATGTTTCATTGAAACTAGGGAGTCCCCAACCAGTCTAGCCCTTGGGAGCCTTGGCTTCAGAATCAGCCTTGGGGTCAGCTGCTTCGCAGCCAGAGCTTCAGCCTGCCTAGCAGTGTGATATGTCCATCGGGTAGGTAGATGGTTTTCTTGGTCGCTCTCAAGTGTCCCTTCTTATGCGAAGGACCAAGGCAGCGCCAGCCCCGATACGTTGCAGTTTGCAACTTAATGAGGCTGGGGGGTTTCTAACGGGGGGCTTACGCTCAGTGCTCTGAAGAATCCCCTGCAAGCGTGGCCCCAGGAGGCTGCAGATGCTGTATGCGCTCCAGAGGGGTCTGCATCTTTTTGGCCTTCTTTTTGCGTTCTGGCAATGGTCGTTTCAGGTTCCAGACCCCTCCTCTCGCCACGAACCTGAATCTCCTTTCTGGTGGTCTCACTTTCAGTGGGGAACGCCGGGGGTCTTCAGAGGTTCTCCCAGGCACGTGTGCACACTCCTTCCCTGGCACACGGGTCTAGGATAAGGGGTGACGCACTGCTGTCTCCTAAGCCATGGGGTTGCCGAGGGTAGGAGGGACCCTTCAGGCTGTGCTCTGAGCCCACAGCTCCTGTCTGCTGCAGGTACGCAGCCTTTCCTCTGCCTCCACATCAGCTTTGGAGGCTCCCAGTGCTGCCTCGTGACAGTGAAATTCAAAGTATTACAACAGCCCCCTCTACGGGCTGCGGGGCGACTTGTCCTCACCGTGCCTTTCTCTCTTTCCTGCAGTCGACACGACACCAAAGCACCCCTCTCAGTCTGCCGTGTGTCAGAAGGGAACGCCCAACTCTGCCTCCAAAACCAAAGATAAAGTCAACAAGAGGAACGAGCGTGGAGAGACGCGGCTGCACAGAGCCGCCATCCGCGGGGATGCCCGGCGCATCAAGGAGCTCATCATCGAGGGCGCGGACGTCAACGTGAAAGACTTCGCAGGTAGCCACCTCGGCTGCAGCTCAGCCACCCATGCGACCGTGCTGGCGGCCTTGAGCCCGGCGTGTGGATCTGTACTTTGCGCCAGCTAGGCCAGTATCCCGTCCCTGACAGGACGGACCAAGACCAGATGCTTCAAAGGAAGGTGGAGGGGATGCTGTGATGCATCATTAGAGAATGCCCCGTCCATGCGGGAATTTCAGTTATGCCCGAGAGCCTAAACCATGGGCACGGGCAGCGTGGCGAGTTGGAGAGTCCATAACACCAACATGCCATGCTGGACCCTGATCTCAGCAGCCTCCTTCCCGATGACAGAGGAGCGCTGGGGACAGAGAGCTGCCATCCCTGCAGGCCTTAGGGTGTCCGGAGGGAGGCACAGCAGTTGTTTTCATCTTAACAGTCGCACCGTATGGACCGGTGCTGCCCTCAGCTCTGTGGCATTTTGCCGCCTGCGTGTTTCTGGCAGAGCTGACAGGCGCCTGTAGCCAGTCCCTGGATAAACCCACGTTACAGCCACTTTTTCCTTTCGCCACAACTTAACGTTTGGGCTGAAATTTTTCCATGTTAGGCATTTGCCTCAGCCTGATACTTTTCAGCTAAAAGAGTTTGGCTGTTTCCAAAATGGAAATGAAGGGAAAATTCATTATTTTGCCCAAATTGGGGGAGAAAAAAAACTTGCTATCCCCGCGAAAAGCTGCCAGAACCTTGCCACGTATTACCGCGAAAAAATAAAAAGCCCTTAGGTCCTGCACAAAGCCTGAGCAGACCGTGACGAGCAAGATGCTGCCGCGATTTCATCTGTCCTGACCGTGTCTGGGTCTGGCCACGCAGGGGCTGACAAACACGTTCCTTGTAACTCCTCTTCTGGCTTCGCTGGGGGCTGCTGGAGGGCCAGGCCCTGGGGCTCTGAATAGGGAGCCCTTTCCCTGCAGTCTCTTTTCCCGTCTGCAAGCATCCAAGCAGCTGTGTGATCCAAATGTAGAAAGGACAGGAGCTGAAAAGGAGCCCGGGACTGTTTGGGCAAGAGGCCAGGGAGCCAGTGGAGTGGGGAGCAGGCGAATGGGAGGAAGGGCGGCAAGTGCAGGACAGGGATACGGTGCAGAAGGGGCTGCGGTCACTAGAGCCCGCTCCTCCGCTGTCAGCAGGCACGTGGGAAGCCAGGGGTCTCGTCCTCCGGGGACTGGTCCACCCAGAGGATGACAGCCTACTACTGCTATCCGGTTCTCTGCTAAATCAAGCGGGAGAGGGTCAGGCTGCAGATCCAAGAGCTCCCCCCGCTCACGAAACACATGGGTGTCCCGAGGAGGCCACGTGAAGGAATTCGGGGAGGGGGGTGTGGACGGCAGAGACCTTGTGTGCAAGAGGTCGGAAGTGCCTGGACAAAGCCCTTTTAAAGGGGCCCCTTGAGCAGAGGCCCTGAGACCGCTCGGCCATCACGGGCTTTCTTTCTTCACTGCCTCACCCTGCCTGGAGGACGGGCCGGCCCGTGGGAATTGGTCAGGGCTGAGTGATCTGGGGGCTCTTGCCTGCTGGACTGTGCTTCCCCTCGGGGACGCGGAGGGTCTGGGGTGAATGAGGCAGGGGACTGCAAGAAAAGAAGGGGCGGTCTCCTAGCAAAGGCTTCCCTGGGCGAGGGGATTTTGTCCCAGATCTCCTCCGTAACAGGGGGCAGCCGCTTCAGCCAGACTTCAGAGGTGCCTGTGGTGTTCGCCTCGGTTTCTGGCTTCCCCATAGCTCTGAGCCCTCGCGGTGACAGCAAACATATATGTATAGAGGTGGCTGAGAACCCCAAAACTTAGGGCCTGGGTATCTCGGGGCAGGCGGCCCTTGCAGTGAGAGGGCACGTTTGACCTTGAATCTCTGCCTGCCCCAGTCTCCTGCCTGTACGATTGGGATGAAACCGCCCCCTCTTTCCCGGCGGTTATGGAAATGCGCTCGGCGGTGCCAGGCAGACGCTGGAGAGACGAGCACTGCAGAGGAAGCACAGGAGAGAACTAATAATTTTGTCATCAGAGCAGGGCTTGAATACGGCGCAGTAAACAGTGTGGGGCCGCGCACTGAACAACGAGGGGGAACAAAGCACCCAGCAGCTGCCGGTTAATTGTGCGCTGCCCGTCTCCGGCGCCAAAGGGGGCAGGGGACCCGTGGGCAAAGCGCATCTGCATCACGAGGCCCGTATCCTCCCGCCCAGGCGCCGAGCGCTGAGCCGAGGCTGGCACGCAGCTTCCTCCTGGCGCTTCCCAACTTTTGCGTGCTCAGCTTCCCCCGTTAACGTTTGGCGCGCGGGCGTTGGCTGTGATGAGTCGATTTTGGAGCACGGTGTGATTACCATCAGCGCTCGATTGAAGCCTGTCGCCATCGCCAGTCGTTTCGGTCACAGATGCCTCTTCTTAATAGCCCAAATGGAGGTTTCTGAAAGGCCGCGTGTCAGCAGAACACCTCCGGAGCAGCGCACAGCTGCTGGGAAACTTCAAAGCAGGATCTGCTTAGCAATCAGCTTGCCCCTCTCGGCGAGGAAGGCTTCAGCAGTTCTTTCCCTCCTTGCTTAGAGCTGCTGTTTCTGCCGGGTTCGTCCCCTCCCCGCGCTCCTTTCCAGCCAGAGCTCACGGTCCTGCTTGCGATGCTGTGACTGCTTGCTCTGGAAATGCTGCATTCACACCCCTGTGCCCTGAATTTGGGGGAGGGGGGAGTGGGGGGGAGTACACTGGATGTAGGGATGAATTCAAAACCCCAGGCTGAGCTGAGTTAAAATCCTTCTTAGCAAAGAGTTAGAAGCAATTTGACCTACCGAGACCAGAGCTCTAGGAGGGGGTCAAGTCAGCAGCCCTTTCATTTCATTGGAGTTCACTGAGCTGTGCAAGCTCCAGTGGACAATTGGCTGTAGCCTGGAATGGAAGTTAGTCCCAAGCACAATGAATTTCCAAGGCAAAGTGGCTGGCGTCTGGGCAATGCGCCCCTTCTGCGTCGTCTGCCAGCTGACCAGAAGAGCTCTGTGCCCGTAGCCGGAGGCAAGCTGTTGCAAAGCAGGCGGCGGCCCCTTGGTAGGCAGGTTACCTTGTGCCGCTGCCTTCCTTCCCTTCAGCAAAAGGGGTTGCCCGCGTCACGGGTGTTTGTGTGCCTTGCAGGCTGGACGGCATTGCACGAGGCATGTAACCGGGGTTACTACGACGTTGCAAAGCAGTTGCTTGCTGCCGGCGCCGAAGTCAACACCAAGGGGTTGGATGACGACACGCCGCTGCACGACGCGGCTAATAACGGGCACTTCAAGGTGGGTTCTGGCTGGATCTCGCAGCCTGGGTTTAGTGATTCACGACGGGGGGCGAGTTTGGGCTTCTCACATCGACCCGTTCTAGTACAGCACGGCCGATTCTCTCCCGTCGAGAGTTCCCGACAGCCACGTTGCATCTTTGCAAGGCAGAATCTTCTCCTGCCCCTGTGCTGTGAAACGTTTGGCGTGGTGTTCCCCTTCGTGTCAGAGGTCTCCGGTAAGGCTTGCCTTTCTTCCCACTTTGGGGAGGAAGCTGGCCGTCGGGAGAGCCCTAGGTTTGCGCCTTCTTCCCCAGCCCAGGAAATCAGTGCTGCCAGTTTCTATCTCCCTCCTGATCAGACCCTGTGCTCATATCCCTTGGGGACAGAGCAGGCCACAAGCTGATCTTCTTCCTTCTCGTCTGTCTGAATGGTGCACAAACGTGACCGGAGCGGAAACATCTTCCCGATACCCTGAGGCACTGACGGTCTCTTTCTCTCTCTCTCTCTCTCTCTCTCTCTCTCACCTTCGGGTGGTGAAATTGTTGTTGCATTATGGGGGGAACCCTCATCAGAGCAACCGCAAAGGAGAGACGCCTCTAAAAGTCGCCAACTCCCCCTCCATGGTGAATCTGCTGCTGGGAAAGACCACCTACGCCTCCAGCGAAGAGAGCTCCACAGGTGAGGCCCCACCGTCACGCACAGGCATTGAGATCCCCACCTGCAGCCATGTGCTGATAGAGAAATGCTAAAAGCACATGGAAGTTACAGCGTGGCTGAGGTTGGTGTGCCGCTGCCACAGTCCAGAGCCTGTCTGCAGCCTGGCTGCTCGCGTGCTGGAAAAACCCGCCCTTCTCTCAAGGGAAAGCTGTTGCTCACTTGGAAATTTCAGCCCTGAGAACCTGCGGGGAAAGAGTCCCATACATCCACCAAACCTAGCTGCAGTCACAAGTAGATGCTGCTGCATCCGTGACCTGGACACTAATCCACAGTCACCACCCATGCACATGCTTCTACTCCAGGGGCATGCACCCAGTTGCTTACCCGTCTCACTGAAGGGGCAGCTGCCGTGGCTTCGTTTCCATTTATTGCGGGGTAAGAGCATGCACTTGAGGGAAGAAACTGTGGAGCGGTTGTTGGGCTGCCAGTCCCTGCTCTCTCTTACCTTGTGTTCCCAGGCCATGGGCACGTGAACAAGGTATTGCAGGCTGAGCAGCTGCCCCTCAGATAGCTGGCTCCTACATCATCAGAGGCTTAAACGAATGCATCCAGCACTTCAACTTGCCCTTGGGAGCAAGTATAGAAATGGTGGTGTGCATCCAGTGAAACCCATCCCCTCAGAAAGCTGGGGGCTGGACTCAGTCCTTGCTGAATATCTATCCTGGCCTGCAGCCCGCTCGTACGCTGACACTACAACACTCCACTTCCAGAGTGCCATTGTCAGGGATGTCCGCATGGCCTTGAAGTGGCTCGGTGTTCCTCTCCAAGGGGACTTTGAGCTTCCTCCTGGTCGTCCAGCCACAGGCTTAGTAGAGACAGCCACTTGGTGCATGGGGTGAGCAGGGCTGGGGGTTCAGAGAAGCTTTCTGGACAATGCTGACTTAGCGGTGCTTCCTGCTGGGCCTCATGCCATGTGCTCTTGTCCCCGCAGAGAGCTCTGAGGAGGAGGACGCCCCTTCCTTCGCACCATCCAGCTCCGTAGACGGCAATAACACAGACTCCGAATTCGAAAAAGGCTTGAAGCACAAGACCAAGAGCCAAGAGCCCCCCAAAACCATCACGCCGGTCAAGGACGAGTACGAGTTTGACGAGGATGACGAGCAGGACCGAGTCCCGCCAGTGGACGACAAGCATTTGCTGAAAAAGGATTACAGGAAAGAGACTAAAACCAACAGTTTTATTTCCATTCCCAAAATGGAGGTAAAAACCTATACAAAAAATAACACGATCACACCAAAGAAAGCCGCCCACCGCATCCTCTCGGACACGTCGGACGAAGAAGACACCAGCGTGGCCGTGGGGTCCGGAGAGAAGCTGCGGCTCTCGACGCACACGATACTGCCCAGCAGCAAGATTCGGGAGCCGCCCAACGCCAAGCAGCAGAAAGAGAAGAGCAAGGTGAAGAAGAAGCGGAAGAAGGAGACGAAGAGCAAAGAGGTTCGGTTCGGCAAAAAAAATGACAAGTTCTGCTCCTCTGAATCGGAGAGCGAGAACGTGGAGAGCGAGGAGGATGACAGAGACTCTGTGCAAAGCTCTAGCTGTGTAAAGGACTCTAGGCTAGTGCTAAAGGAATCCTCCTTGTTCAACTCTCTCTCTGCCTCTTCCACCTCCTCGCACGGGAGTTTAGCTTCACAGAAACATAACCCTAACCTGACAGAGCACTCCAAGCACTGGAGGACGGACAATTGGAAAACCATCTCTTCTCCGGCTTGGTCAGATGTCTCTTCCTTGTCGGACTCCACAAGGACGAGACTGACAAGCGAGTCGGACTACACGTCCGAGGACTCCAGCTTAGAGTCGTTAAAACCCGTGAGAAAGAAACAGGACCACAAAAAGAAAAATAACCCCCACAATGCGGTCTCGGAGAAGAAGAATTCATTCCACCCCAGCGTGGACGGAGCGATCCCAAAGCTGGACAAGGAGGGGAAGGTCGTTAAAAAACATAAAACGAAGCATAAACACAAAAACAAAGAGAAGGGGCAGTGTCAGCTCAACCAGGACATTAAAATCATCAAACCTTTTTCTTTCGAATATGAGGACTCGAAGCAAAAGCCCGACAAGGGGTTGCTTGTAGAGACTGAAAACACAGTGGAAAATAAATTAAAAGTGTTAAAGCATGAGAGAGAACACTTCAAGAAGGATGAGAAGCTCCCTAAGGGGAAATCGGAGGAGAAGGAGTGGTTGTTTAAAGATGAGTCTGGAAAAGCCTCCAAAGAAGAGAAATCATTCAAAAAAGTCAAAGAGGGGAGCAAAGACCTCGGTAAATCTTTCAGAGAGGAGAAGTCAAGTAAATCGGAAAAAGAGAAACCTATAAAGGAGAAATCTCCCAAAGAGGAGAAGCCTCGAATACACAAGGAGGAGAGAAAGAAGAAGTCAAAGGACAAACAGTCAAAATCGGAAAAGAAAAACGATCTCAAGGAGGAGAAAATTGCGAAGCTGGAGAAAGAAAAAACTTTCAAAGAGGAGAAAGAAAAATGTAAAAAAGAGAAAGTTTACAGAGAGGAGCCGGGATTTGACGAGTTCAATAACAAAGCCCAGTTTCCAGAAAGCGAGGACACAAAGTTCAGCCTTTCTGATGATCAGCAAGAGAGATGGTTTTCCGACTTGTCGTCTGATTCCTCCTTTGATTTCAAAGGGGAGGATAGCTGGGACTCTCTAGTAACCGAATTCAGGGAGATGAAGAACGACACCGTGGCCAAAATAATCTTGGAAACGGCCAAGGAGGAAAGCAAAGACAAGAAAAAGGAGAACAAAACGAAAGAAAAGAAAGACTACAACGAAAAGCGCGGTGAGAAAGACGCTTTCCTAAAAAAGAAAGAGCGAGAATACGTGGAAAAAAATTCCGAGAAGAAAAAGGACCAAACTGAAAAGCATAAAGTGACTCCCGGCTACCTGCTGGAGAAGGACAAGAAAAGGAAGGATTCTGCCGAAAGCGTAAAAGAGAGGAAGGAGAAGGATGCAGGCGATGCCGGCAAAGAGAGGAAGGATTCTTCCGACAGCGCGAAAGATCGAAAGGAGGTGAAAGTTAAGCAAGAGGAGCCCTATCGAGATGAGTTTAAAGACTATGGTTGTGACACGTTCTTCAAAGACAAATCTGACCCTGAATTCAGTGGGAAAAATGCCGAGAGCTGGGAAAGGCATCATCCAGGGAAGGAAAAGGAGAAGAAAGATGCTCCTGACAAAGACAAGAAGGAGAAACTGAAGCCCGAAAAATACAAAGAGAAATCCAAAGACGGCGACAAAGAGAAAAACGAAAAAGCGGTTGCGGAGAAGAGCCAGAAAGACAAAGAGCTGGATAAGAGCTTTAAAGAGAAGAAAGACACCAAGGAGAAATACAAGGATCTGCATAACAAAGACAAAGAGAGGAAGACTTCCTTCGACCAGATGAAAGACAAGAAAGAGAAAAACTTCTCCGCAGAAAGAGAGGACTTCCCTGAGAAAAAAGATGAGAAAAAAGGCAAAGAAAAGAGCTGGTACAGCATCGCCGATATCTTCACAGATGAAAGCGAAGACGAGAAGGATGATTACAGCTTGAGCGCCTTCAAAATCGGGGAGCCCGTTGGGAGCGAACTGCACCGGATGGACGGCTTGCAAGAGAAAGATGATGGCGCGGCTGCCGAAAAGGAGCTTTATCTCGCCGACAGGCACCGCAAGTACTCCTCAGATAGGCAGCATTTGGGCGAGAAACAGAAAGACAAAGACTCGAAAGAAAAGAAGAAGGACAAAGGGTCAGCGGAAGGCGGGAAGGACAAAAAAGAGAAGAACTCCTTTGAAAAACACAAAGACAAGAAGGATAAAGATGCCGGGGAGAAGTATAAGGACAGGAAAGACAGGACCTCGGTAGACTCCACCCAGGAAAAGAAAAGCAAGCAGAAGATCCCGGAAAAGGCGGAGAAGAAGCATGCCAGCGAGGACAAGGTGAAGAACAAGCACAAGGACAAGGTGGACAAAGAGCACTCCAAAGAGAGGAAGTCTTCAAAGGGGGGAGAGCCGGAGAAGAGCCTGCTGGAGAAACTGGAGCAGGAGGCGCTCAACGAGTATCGGGATGACTCGAACGATAAAATAAGTGAAATTTCTTCAGATAGCTTCACAGATAAAGGGCAAGACCCAAGCCTCACCAACCTCTTTGAGTCGTCCAATCTTTCCCTGACGGACGCTTCGGAGGAAAAGTTTAAGGATTCCCTTCCTTTACCCTGCTTGCAAGACAAACTCAAGGAGAAGGAGAGGCACAGGCACTCCTCGTCTTCGTCCAAGAAGAGTCACGAGAAGGAGAAAGGAAAGAAGGAAAAAACAGAGAAAAAAGAAAAAGCGGATGAGTTTAAAGACACCGGGAGCAGAAAAGATTCGGCTCAGTATGAAAAAGACTTCTCGGTGGATGGGGAAGCTTTCGGCATTTCCTACAATATGAAAGCAGAGGCCGACGAAGAACCGGACAAAAGCATGGACTACTTATTTCCTGAAAAGAAGGATAAGAACGATGCCGAGAGAGAGCTGTCCAAGAAGTTGGAGAAGGAAAAGACTTACGGTTCGAGCGCTGTCAGCTCAGCCAAAGAGAAGAAGAAGAGGGAAAAACACAAGGAGAAGTGGAAGGAAGAAAAGGAAAAGCACAGAGACAAGCACGCGGACGGGTTCTTCAAGCACCACAAAGAGGACCCGAAGTCGGCGGCGAAAGACAAGGACAGCCCCCAAGTGGCCACTTTCAAAGAGAAGTCGAAGGAGGAGACCCTGAAATTCAGCGAAACCAAACTGAAGGAGAAGCTCAAGGAAAGCCAAGAGAAGGACAAAGCAGAGTCTCTGAAGATGAGTAACGGCAATGACAAAATCACCGTGTCCAAAGACGGAGTCAAGAAAGACAACAGGCCGAGGGAGAAGCTTCTGGTGGACGGGGACCTGATGATGACGAGCTTCGAGAGGATGCTGAGTCAGAAGGACCTGGAGATCGAGGAACGCCACAAAAGGCACAAAGAGAGAATGAAGCAGATGGAGAAGATGAGGCACAGATCCGGAGACCCCAAGCTAAAAGACAAGATCAAAACCTCTGAAGACATGCGGAAGAAGAGCCTGGATTTGACCGCCAAGAAACCCCTCGTGCTCGATACTCAGCTGAAGGACAAAAAGCTCAAGGAGTTGGGCCCGCTGGCTCCCATCTTGTCCCCAGACAACAAGGCGCAGCCAGCTGTGGGGACAGACTCCAAAGACTGGATCGCTGGCCCTCAGCTGAAGGAGATCTTACCCGCGTCCCCCCGGCCCGATCAGAACCGGCCGACCGGCGTGCCCACGCCTGCCTCCGTGGTCTCCTGCCCGAGCTACGAAGAAGTGATGCAGACGCCAAGAACTCCCTCCTGCAGCAACGAGGATTACACGGACCTGATGTTCGATTGTGCCGACCCCCAGCACCCGATGCCCATCTCCACCATGTCCATGAACGCGTGCTCTCCCTCCTTCTTCGACCGATACGCGAACGCTTCGAGCGGACTCCCTGAGAATCCAAGCCAGACTCCAACCAGGACCGTGCCCTCCACCAACCTTTACCGCTCCATCTCCGTCGACATCAGAAGAGCCCCCGAGGAAGAGTTCAGCGTCGGAGACAAGTTTTTCAGGCAGCAGAGTGTCCCGGCAACGTCAAATTACAACTCCCCGGTGCAGCACCTGATGGACGAGAAGGTCCCTCTTCCTTCTATTCCGGCAGAAAAGTTCCAGTGTTTGTCCCCGGGGTATTACTCCCCTGACTACGGGGTCCCGTCCCCAAAAGTAGAGGCTTTGCATTGTGCGCCAGGAGCGGTGAGCCATGTCAGCCAGTCCCCCGAAAGCGTCTTTTCTGGTTTGCAAGCCAAATCCTCCCCGTCTCACAGAGATGAGTTGCTGGCACCCTCTGTGGAAAGTGCGCTTCCTCCTGACCTGGGCATGCCTTTGGGTACCACCGAAGAGCAGCAGGCCACTGCTTCCATCATGCCCCCCGAGTCTACCTTTTTGCCTCCCATCGAGGAGAACCACTTCAGTTCGGGTATTTCGGAGCAGAACAATCTGGACTGGGACAACCCTCCTCCTGCCAGGAACCCCGAGCCCCCCATTCCTCCCACCTTGATGGGCAACCCTCCCGACCACCCCGTCAGCTGGTCGGTGGGATCAGAGCTGCTGCTGAAGTCTCCCCAGAGGTTCCCCGAGTCTCCCAAGCCGTTCTGCGCGCTGGAGCCGATTCACTCTGCGCCGGTGCCCTTTATCGCTGCAGAGTCCCCGTACCCGGTGTCTCCCATCTCGTACCCACTGTCGGTATCTGAACCAGGGCTCGAAGAGGTAAAGGAAGACGCCGAAGAAGCCGTTCCCGGAGAAATGGCAGCGGCAGAAGAAGCAGCGCCCTGCATGTCCCCGACGCGATTAGACACGTTCTTCAGTACCTGCAAGCCTCCTCCTGAAGAGACCCCGGAGATGCCTGCGGAGCGCCTGTGCTTGCCCGTGGAAACGCAGGCGGAGGCCGTCGGCATCCTGGAGAACAGTTACTTGGAGAGCAATCCCGTGGCCCCCACGAGCACAGAGGAGCCGGTGACGTGGCCTGATCCGTTCACCAATTCGGAAGATGATTTGGACCTCGGTCCCTTTACCCTGCCAGAGCTGCCGCTTCAGGCCAAAGAGGTTCCAGAGCCCGAACTGGCTGATGCGGGAGCGGCTCCCGGCGAGCAGGAGGAGCTGCCCCTGAAGCAGACGACTAATTTGTCGGCGGTGGAACCAGAGCCGCAGCTGGAAGAGCAAAAACCTGAAGTCGCGGCCCCGGAAGCCACGATGGAGGCGTCGAGCGTCCCCGAGGAGAAGAGGCCGGAAGAATCGGAGGCCCCGAGTTTCCAGCAAGCGGCCTCGGCGGAGCCGGCCCAGCTAGAAAACAAAGAGGCGGACGCGAGTCGCGAGGAGCTGCCCTCCTCGAACTGCGCGGCGGAAGCTGGCTCCCAAAGCAGCTCGGTCCCGGTGCCTGCCGCCGACAGCGGAGCCGCTCAGGACAGCGCCGCGGTGCGGAGCGCCGCCCAAGCCTCTTCCACCCCAGCAGACGCCCCCCAGCCAGAACCCGTCGAACCCGTGCAGAAACCCGTCGCGGAAGCCCCGAAGCCCCCCAAAATCGAAGAGATCCCCCAGCGAATCACCAGGAACCGGGCGCAGATGCTGGCCAATCAGAATAAGCAGAACGCCGTGGCATCGGAGAAAGAGTTCGCCCCCGCCTCGGCGCCAGCCACGCGGGCCAAGGGGCGCATCGCGGAGGAGGAGGACGCTCAGGCCCAGCACCCGCGCAAGCGCCGGTTCCAGCGCTCCAACCAGCAGCTGCAGCAACAGATCAACACGTCCACCCAGCAGACGCGGGAGGTGATCCAGCAGACGCTGGCCGCCATCGTCGACGCCATCAAGCTGGATGACATCGAGCCCTACCACAGCGACCGGTCAAACCCCTACTTCGAGTATCTTCAGATCCGGAAGAAGATCGAGGAGAAGCGGAAAATCCTCTGCTACATCACGCCCCAGGCCCCGCAGTGTTACGCTGAGTACGTCACCTACACCGGCTCCTACCTCCTGGACGGCAAACCTCTCAGCAAGCTCCACATTCCCGTGGTGAGTTGCCCTCGCTCGTGGGTGGATCTTGCATTTCAAAAAGCGGGGTGCACGCATCGTCCCATATAACACAACACACATTTTTCTCCAGGCAAAAAGAAACTAGAAGCTTAGCTAACATGCTGGGGCCCTAGGGCTGTATTATTCAGGTTAAGATCGAAGCAAAAATAAATAAAATGATAGGAATGAGCTGGCGTTGGTCTGCAGAACAGCTAACAGACAGCCGAATTGCAGAAGAAAGCTAGCTTGATTGGTGGCACATCAGGACCATTAAAGAGGAGAGAGGGTCGTTAACACCTGCGGAGTGAAGGGTTCAGAAGGGATCAAGTAGATTATAATGAGGCAGGTATCCAGGTTGTAGCCGCATTGGTCTAGAGGCAAAAGGAATCAGAACTCGTGGTGGAGCTGATACCTTTTATTAGACCAACTGGAGTTTTGCAAAAATAATTCTTGCAAATCAAGAAATTTTGTTGCAGAAATCCAGGTGGTCTAATAAAAGATATCACCTCTACCACGAGTTCTGATTCCTTTATAATGAGCCATGAGTTCAGCTGACGCCGGCACTGCTGCCTGGGCAGAAGTGTGGCTGCAGCTGCCAGGCAGTTGGTTTGTTGGTTTTATAGGTTAGGTGGAGCTGGATTTAAGGTGGGGGGTGCGACTGCACCAGTGCAACCCCCCACACCTGCCCTTGCCCTGGCTGTTTCTCCGCTGTTGCCTCAAGTGACAGTGACGCTGAAATGCAGCGTCAGGACCCCTGTTGATGCTGCCAGTAGATCTGACGCAGAGCCCGGTTTTCCCTCACTGTCACGCCGGCCCAGCCCGGGTCTGCAGGCGGTCCTCTTGCAGCTCCTCAGGTGCAAACGCTGCTCGTAGGACCAGGTGACTTAGCAGGCAGAGCCTGGCAGCAGGCTGCCAGTTGCACGGAGAAGGGTGCTGCGTGCCAGCAGCCCCCTGCACCTCCTGGCATGCTCGGGACCTCGCTGTGGTTGCTGTCAGAAATCACGAGCGTGATAGCACGCGCCTGTTGGGCCTTGCCCGAGTTCAGGGTCATCCGTGCAGGGTCGTCCATGCCTGTTGTGTGAACAGGAGCATGCGGCAGGTTCGCGGAAGGAATGTTTTGCCCATCCTCTACCCGCTCTTCTGAAGATGTCGAAGCGCTTTACTGCGTGGCCTCATGGCCCCCAAAGGGATGGGTGGGTGGGTTACAGCCCCGGGAGATGCTAGCCCGGTTTCACGCCCAGACAGCCTGTTGCTGGCATATGGTCTTTGGGAAGGTGGTTGCGACTCCCCCCGGTCACATGCTCCCCACGTGGCTACGTGCTGGGTGGCCGCGACCTCCACCCCTCCCAGCTCTCTGGCATCCCAACGCTTCGGCAGCGCAGCACCGGGCTCGGATCGGATAGCTGTTCCAGCCCCGGGCACCCGCGCGGCAGCCCTCGAGAGCCCGGTCATGCCGGGGAGGACAGAAAGCTCAGGAGCGATCTGAGCAGCGGGAGGAGAGCTCCCTCCCGGTCCCCAGAGCACAGCAGGTGTGACGTGTGCCCCTGTGTGTCTGCAGATCGCCCCGCCACCGTCGCTGGCAGAGCCGCTGAAGGAGCTCTTCAAGCAGCAGGAAGCAGTGAGGGGGAAGCTGCGACTCCAGCACAGCATAGAGAGGGTAAGGGGGAGGGTCCGGCGGGCCCAGGCGCTGCTGAACTGCCTTCCCTCCACAGGCCGGGGTGGGGGGCACTCCTTTGCTGAGTGGGTCGTGTCCCCTTCCTCTGCAGGAGAAGCTGATTGTGTCGTGCGAACAGGAGATCCTAAGGGTTCACTGTCGGGCAGCGAGAACCATTGCCAACCAGGCGGTGCCCTTCAGTGCCTGCACCATGCTGCTCGACTCGGAGGTCTACAACATGCCTCTAGAAAATCAGGTCAGCGGCTCCCGGGGGCTTGGGGTGGGAGCTGGGGCAGGGCAGGCCGTACGGAGAGGTGTGTGGGCACAGGCCAGGGTTTGTAATGCCCTCCCTACCACGGGACCCGTGGCTCCCTCCCCTCGCCCACGCGGACTGCCTGTATCACGGACTGACCTCTCGGCACGGGCTAGCCCTGGCTGACATACCCAAAGCCTGAGGCACGAGTTCAGCTGGCCGGCGTGTTTGCCCGCGTATGTATCTGGAGGCCTCAGCACCCCCTACTCCTTCCTCGTGTTCAGAGCCAGCCGCGCGCTGGAGAGGTTTTGGGGGCCCCAGTCGTGCTGCGCGGAGAAGAGGAGCCTGTGAAATGACTTCCTTAGCTCTGAAACAGCCAAACTCCCCTGCATCGCCTGCAGAGACGGGCTCTTCTTGATCCCACGTAGCTGCGAGCTGGAAAGGCCGAGGGTGAAGCAGTAGTGTGGCAAATGAGTCAGACTTCAGCAGCCAGCATTGCCGTCGGGCTCTGGGAGAAGGTGGACTCAGCTAGTACAGTGCAATGGGAGAGAACAGCCACATCAGCCCCACTGCTGGTGGCGGGTGGGGAGGGGCAGGGGAGCCC